TATCTTGCACTACACAGCCATATGGAGTTTTTGTTTCTGTTGCAGGGATTTATTTCATTCTGTTGAGCTTCTTTTTGGTTTAGATCTTGGAATGATGGGTCAATTAGAAACATGTCACTAGAAGACAAGATTTCCCCTCCATGATTATATGTGCACACTGAAAGAGAAACTCACAGGGCTGCCACCTCTGAATGCTTGTCTGGGGAAATCTCCCATGAAATACAAGTATGCAAAGAAAGATATAAATGTCTATTCCTGAATCACACATGCTTCATAATATGTTGGTGCTTGACTGTAACTGCATTTAGTTACTAAGGATTGGAATGACAACAGTAAATGTCAGAACAATATTTGAACACTCACAGAACTTGAACTCCATATTTGTCTATTCTTAAATACCCATGAGAAATTTCTCCTGAACCACAATCTTAATAAAACAAGACTTAATAAAATAGGGAAATTAATTTGAAATGGAAAGAAACTGGAGATTTTTTTTCACTCTTGCAAAGGATTTGCACAAATTCTTGAAAGATCCTAAATTTTGCTCTTCAGATTTCTCCAGATTTTTTCCTCTAGAAGGAGAGTGAAATGTTGATACAAACCAGTTTGTGCTTTGCAGCATATTAATATACTGTTTTTCTCAAGGAGAGAGAAGAAGGGGAAACCTTGCTGTAGAGGAACAGCAAATGTCCTGAGAGCAACCTGAAATGCCAACTTAGCATTTTTGCACTTCAAAAACATCTTTGACTTTTATAAACAGCCATGATGGTAAAATTGAGGCTGTTAAAAATACATGGTTTACTTCAGTAGTTTATAATTCACAGTGGCATTTAGTGGGTGGAGCTGTAAATTAGTAAGTGGACTGTTGCCACAGCAGAGTAGGTTGCTGCTCTGCAAAGGAGAAGCTTTGCTAAGAATAGGAATGTGGTCATGATGATAATGAACAAGGGCTCCACATGCCTGAAACGTTGATGGGAGATTGGGAGATGGTTGTTGGATGTTTAACAGCTGCTCTAGAAATTAGATGTTATCAAAGGTCTGTTTGAAAGAATGAACTGGATGAAAAGCACGCAAAACTTAACCCGTAAGACCTGGTTTCAATTTTTAGTAGCACTACTGAAAGGCAGAGTGGCACATGAAATATTTATGTTGTCGATAAATTGGAAGGTACAGTTTTACAGCCAACAAAATGCTATGTTTATTCTGCTGCAAGAGTGAGGCAGGAGTGCAGCAGTCTCTACACATAATAGGATCTTTTCCCCTATTGCTTTCAAATGAAGTAGATTAATGTGCCAAGAAAGCTTTACAATATGATAATCAGGTATTTGATCTGACCTGTCAAACACTCAAAGAAAAAAGTAATTTACTTCCTGGAAACTATATTAATGTTCCAAATAAACCCAGCTTTTTAAAGGCACTAGATTTCTCTGAGGGGGGATGACTTATTTATCACTAGGATGATTTGCCTTTGGACTCTTTAGTAGCTGTAACAGCCTTATTCAAAGGTTGAAAGCAACAGCATTATGTCAAAAATCCTGAGTGAATGGTGCAGATAGATATGGATGACAATATAAAACATGCCACGTTCAACTTTTGGAGGCTTTACTACTGAGTGACAGCTGCTGTATGATTGGTGTTCAGCCAGAAGTAGACAGGAAAATATTCTGAACCCAAATGCACAACCTGTGTGACTGCAATAATTTCATGGTTTTGACTGCTTAAATTCCCAGTTGGTGGACATCAACAGAATGCTCTCAATTTTCTGGCCTTAAGATACATGTTTGAGCTACGTCAGCTTTAAAGTGATCCACAGGAAACTTGCACTGAAGAGAAAGAAAGAAAAAAAAATCTGTATGAAATCATCGTGTCTACTTCACATGCTGCACAACCCTTTCCTATGCAGACATTCTTTGATCCCTGTTTGTGCTGGCCAGCTTTAGGCCCCCCAGAGCAGAAAGGGCTGCATACAGATGTTACACTGCTAACCAGCTCATCAGTGGAGGAAACCAGGTCACTTCTCCTGTAGGAAGACCACCAACAAAGGAATTTTGTCACAAAAAGTCTAATATGGCTGTTATCTGAGTCAGAATACAGGACATGTTCCTAGCAGAAGATATTTTGAGCTGCTGTCCCTCCCCAAATTTTCCCAGATACCCAAATATTGATTTAGTTCACTATTAAACAGACAAAAGAACTTCTCAAAAGGATTGCTGGGCTAGTAACCTATCACATCCCACTGAGGACTCATCCATATGGAGCTCAGTGATCGCTGTGGATCTTCTATAAAGATATCCCTTAGAGAGGCATGTGTCTGGTACAAAATAATTGAGTATCTCTGCTCATGGTGGAAAGACTTCATCTTACACGAGAATTTATATCAGCTTTTTTGACATAAACAGGAAGGAAACAGAAAAAGATCTTTTTTCAAACTTAAGCCACTAATAAAATACTTGGCAGACAGGATTAAAGGGATAGGACTCCAAGTAGCCCTAAGACTTATGCTCTTTGGTTTACTTTCTGTGTTCCCACACATTAGTAACTCGAAAGCATATAAGATTGCAGTAGGGAGTAGGGAAACCAGGTCAGCTCTTTAAGATCTGCCAGTTTCAGGACTCTAAATGCTTACAATTTAACCTAATTACAGCCATGAAATTATAATTCAATATGGAAATGTACTGGCTGGAAAGAAAGAATTTGTCACAACCTCAAATCACTTCATTTATTATAACTCTGAAATCCTGTCCCACTATGAAATGTGTGCAGAAGTGTATCCCACACTGACAAAGGGGTACCCTAGAGATTTAAATGTGGTGTCATCTCTGAACCACATTTTAAAATGTGGTTTTGAAAGCTACAAGCACCAGTGGGTTTGTTTCCCAGAGCCCAACTCTTTCTGCCCATCCTGCTGATGCCTGCCTGGCCAGCAGCAGCACATTGCTCATGATGGGGTTTGAGCACACTCACCCTAACAGCTCCTTAACTCCTGGCGACGTTCTGTGTGTGCAGACCAGCCAAGAGGAAGTATCCCTTTAAATCGTACATATCATGCTGGCAGAGTGTCTCTTCACCCAGCTATCAATGACTGAACAAGCTGATTATAAAGCAGATCCACAGCAATCACACGTAAGTAATTCCTGGAAAACTCCACAGGGAAAAAACCCCCAAAAAACCAAACACAAACCAAAACCAAACCAAATCCTAATTAATTAACATGGGTAGAAAATAAAGCAATATACAGATAAAGGGGAGATATTATAACACTGCTGGTGGCTTTGCTTTGATTTACAAGAATTACCCTTGGCATCAGTTCAGCCATGGGTTCTCTTACATACCTTGGATCATACTGAGCCAGCTTCTGTGAAAAATTACTACAAAATCCTTTCAAAATCAAAAAATTCTACAACACACAATGTACATTTGACTGTGTACCTTAGTAAGCCTACAGTAAAAATAGCTTCTTACCAGGAAATCTAAATAAACTGGGATATAGAATATAGTGGTTTAATCATTTTTTTCTTTCTCTGCTCTGTTCTTAACCAGCTAGCATCTCTTCCTACTGGAAGAGCTCATCACTGAAAGCATGGTCAAACTTTTATACAGAATCTCTGGGTATTACTGCTTTTCTGGCCAAGGACTTTCTGCACAGCAAAGAGAAATATTCCTCCTTGCTAAGGACCCAGTGAAAGAACAGTATCTGACTAAAATTATAATCACAAAAGCAAGCACAGTATGGACCAGGAACTCTGGGTTTCATCCTTTTTCTGTCCATACTTACAGCAGTAAGATGTTTCATCTGACTGTATTTGAAAACTGCAACAGCATATTCAGCATTTTTGGGGGAGAAACGACAAATTAAAATCACATTGGGAAAAAGGCTGAGAAGTGAGATGCTGGCAACACCATCCATACCAAAGGCTTCTGAAATTGTCTAGATATGACAGCACCCTTAAAAGAATAATTAGTCTATTTCTCATGATAAAACTGTGTCACTTTGCTATGTGATGCAGACAGTAAAAATAAATTGCTTTAAAGAAAAATAGTAGAATCCCAAAATGCAGTCAAATAAGTACAGCTGTATCCAAGAATTTTGTGGCACAGCACACAGATTTCTATACTGCAAAATGAAGAAGGCAAGAACTAATTTAGCTATACATTACAGTTACTAAAAATACAAGCAGCAATCTCAAGTAAATGCCAGATCCTTCAGTAGTTAAACAAAGTTTCATTATTTTCTTTACTAGAAAGAAATAATCCACAATAACTTTTCCTAAATTAATTTTTAAGATGCAAAAACATGATAAGTTAACACCAGTTCAAAAAGGAGCTGAGGAAAAACAAATGATTCTTATGACTATCAGCTCTATTTCTACCGTGCAAAAATAACCCCAAACAAACAAAAAGGTAATGGAGAATCATAAAAAAGAAACCAAAAAAACTAAAAAGGAAAAACGAAAATCTAATTTCCTGGACAGTAAAATATAGGCTGGAATCAAGTTACTGCACATCTTTGTATCATGTACCAGTGAAAAGTGTACAGTTTTTCAGTATGAGCTTTGGAAAACCACTCATGCACTGGATTGAACAATTTATTTCTGAACTCTTTCCTTCATACATGATGACATTTAAAAAGGTTTTGATATTTTATAAGTAGCACAATCAGAACTAAATGAATCCAAATATTTGTGTGTGTGTAATGCAAACCCCTCAAATATAAAATAAATATTTCCTACTAACGTGTCATATGGAATAAATGACAATTTTATTTTTTAAAAGTACACAGAAGCAGATCATTAGTACACATCAGTATTTGCTAAGATGGATAAGCATTTGCAAAAAAAAAAGTCCATATTCAACACATTACCAATAACTAACAATTAATTAGAATGGGTATTGTCTATGCATGAGCAAACTTACATTTCTGGTCAAAAAATACATATTATTTAAGTACACAATGTAAATCACATATATTTAACTGAATGTACTATTTTTAAAAAACATATCACAGCATATATCTACAAAACTAATTAGAATATAGAACTGAAACTAAATCCAGAATTTGTTTTTGTATTAGTTTTGTATCAGCTGAATATTTACACGTGTTTTAACTGAAGCACAAGTCAGTGTTACTGAACAGCAAGTCTTGAATTCCAACAAATACTTAAAAATCTTACTGGAGCTGTGTCATCAGGATATATAAGAACATTCAGAGCTTAAACTATACCTGTATCTGACAAGTTTTCCTACTTATAAATATTACCATGGTATATTCCTGAGTATAATGAGATGTAGAGGAAAATGGCTGGATGGGACAGCCCTGTGGTGGCAACTCTCCCATGCAGTGCAGCAGTGTGGGCTATATTGGTGCTAAACTGCATGGGGGGAAAGGGAAGAACCTAATGATCTCCATTTTTGCCTGTTTTAATAGGTTAGATATCATTGAATTGAAAGATAATCTGTGATGACCTGCATTTACCATGGACTAAAAGGACTCATGTAAGATTTTACAGCCCAGGACATTCACAGACCAATTTTGTGTGCATACCACACATCCACACCTGCTGCTGCTGCCATGCACTTGGCCTTTGCACTTCTCTGCCATGGATAACACAATGGTTTATACCAGGAATAACAGCTCCATTCCCCATGTGTGACCAGCCACTAGGATATATAGTAATGGCTGTTTCTCCTGCCACAACAGAAGTTTGCCTAAGGAAGAACTAACATTATAGAACTCAAACTGGCAAAATAGTGTAAGGTCTCAATGGCTTTACCTCCAACAAGACTGGGAGCCCAACCTTGACAGATTTCTTCACCATAAAATAGATTAAAGAATTCAGCCAAACATTGTTACATATGCATCTTTCAAAAACTGCACATAATTCTGGATGCTCTGGTTCTCGTTCTCTGACTTCTGTAGGCTGTTCTCCAGCTCTTTCAAACGGACTTCATGGTGCTTTTCATTCTAATGAAAAAAGAAAAATGCATAGAAACTAAGAAATAATATATAAATCAATCAAAATAATAATCTAAGACAACAGGTACCTATTTTTTATAGCTTTATTTACTTGTAAAAGTTTTCAGAGGCTCCACAGAAGCGAAAGTGCTAAAAAAGGCCTCAAAAGATTGAAGCTTTTGTTTATGTTGTCAGAACTGAACAGAACATGTTGACATAGACTTAAAAAACAGGCCTATAATAATTTATAATAATTATAATCCAGATTATTGTCATTAACTCAAGAAAAACAGAAGGTATCATGACATCATTATGGAATTGTTATGTATCTAATCAAATCCAGATATGTTTACTAAACAATGTGAGGGAAATTACAACTTCATACATATTCTTTTATTTTTGTATTGCTGGGAAAACTGGACTGAGTAAGGGTTGTAAACTCAATATTATTCAAGTGATTTATTTGGACTGGATATCTGGTAGGTTGATGGGAAATGTCAATGTACAAATATATTGTCAAGCTGAATTAATTTACTTTTCTGAAAGGTATGTATCAACTGCATTAGTGTGTTTTCAGTAAAAGGAACTTCTTTTTGTAAATGGTGACATGGTGAGTGATTTCTTAAATCACAAACAGCATTATTTACTCACATGGTGAAATAAGCAGAGGAGTTGATTTTTTTCTTCTTGCCTCTTTTTCACTTCAGCTTCAAGAAGTAGCAGTTTTGTCTGAAAGGCTTTTTCCTTGTATGACATTTTTTCCTGTTCTTCAGCTACCTATAAAAGCAATGAAAGAGAAAGAATATACATAAAATAAATTTATAAATGAGATAGATATATTACATATATATTTACTCTTAAAGCCCAAATCAAATTATTTTTTTACCTCTTAGCATTAATAGCTTTATTTCCTATTCTTTCATTTAATACTTATTTCCCATGCCCAGGAATTAAAAAAAAAATGGAGAAATATTCTGGTTAAATTTGAAAGCTGTTTTAATCCGGAACAAAATGTAATATTACCGGGAGTGGAATACTTCTTACCTTATTACCAAGTTAAGCCAAAATTCTAGTTTTTTCAAAACTAAAGAAATATCCTCAGGCAGTATTGAAAAAATCAGATGGTTATTTCTACTTTATTAATGTGAAATTACAATTTCATATGTTTTTTCTGATTAAACTAATATAATTCACTACAATCTAAATTCCTACATTTCCTCTTGAATTTCATTTACTGTTTGCATAATTTCTACAAATGAAAACATTTGGCTTAATGTAGAAAGAATGCAATTTCTTCCTCTAAAAGAGAAGGTTTTCAACACCTAAGTTCTTGTGGGCTTCTATAACAAAGAAAATAAAAGGTAAGATTAAGCTTTTATACAGAAACTTTTAGCCATATGTGTGGGGTTTAATATAAGGTGGTTAAAGAATTTCATTTTGTCAAGAAAAAAAATATAATAAAACACTGGTCAACTGAAACTTGTTATTTATTTCCATAGGATCCAAACTTAACAAGGAAATTGAATAGTTCTATCCATATTTAAAACATGCAGAAATTCACAGTAACTTTTTAGTATTTCTCCCTGCATGCAAAATAGTCTTGTCCCATGATTTTTTCTCAAGCTCATTTTTAATGCTATTTTTAAATAGAAAGTAGCAAACAAGATTGAGAGATGGATTAAATCACCAATACCATTTTTCTCCCTTCTTCCAAAGCAGATTCAAGCTGTCTGGTTAATGCATTATATTCTGCAATTTTCTCTTCAAGCTGCAATTTACTGCTCTGAAGATTCTCATCTTCTTTTCTGAGCTGATAAGCAAGTTCTTCATTCTGATATTCCACCTCACCTAATTGCCTTTAACCAAAACAGATTAATGCATTGTAATTTACTATAGCAGAAAAGTGTAGGAATTAATTTCCATCAGATTTTTCAAGTTACCTTTGAAGATCTTCATATATCTTCTGAATGTTACAGATCTCCTCTTCTAAGCAAAGATTGCCCATAGAAATTACACTATGGTTATCCTGAGAAAATGACAATTTGTTTCTAACTGAAGAGACCTGTATACAGGATCTTATTAGACTAAAGTAAGCCTGTCTATTAAAATCAATCAAATAATATGACTGTAATTTCAGATAAATGCTATGCTTATTCAGATAAACATATTATATTATATTATATTATATTATATTATATTATATTATATTATATTATATTATATTATATTATATTATATTATATTTCAAGTAAATATTCCCTTGTATTATTGTACCTTGTATAATTCTCTTAAATTAATATAACACAGCCAGAGTAGGAGACACAAATTTTGTGTGAGCACTTCAAGGCTGAAAACCTGCTATGTAACAAAGGCCTGAAAAACTCCATGTGCTGCTCATGCAACCTTGTGTATTAGGAATTGGTCAGGTCTACCTGACCAGCAAAAAAGGCTCCCTCACACTACAGTCACAAGAAGCATAAAAATAACACTGCATATACATATGGTTATCACAGAAGAACAGTGCAGCATTGGCAAAGAATTCCAGAAAGAAGTGAATATCAAAAAAGACAATCAAGTCCATGAAAAGTGATATATCAGCAACAGAAGTTGAAGGAAGGAAGAAGAGAGTCTTGTGCCCAGCATCCAGAGTGCTAAACTTTTACACGTTTTTTTTTCAAATCTCAGTAGAAATGAGATTATTGCTCCTTCTACCATCCATCAACAGCATGTTAGCCATAAACAGACACAACAACAGCCTGTGGGTGCCATCATTTAAAGGGGTGACCATTCATTGGACTACCTCAACCAGTCCTATTTAGCAGTTTGAGCTAATCTGCCTGATTGTGCTTATTAGAATAGCAGGCTGTTCAGGTAACAGAGTGGTAGTAGCAGAAATTAGTCCAGCTGAACCCAGGAGAGGTTCTCCAAAATGAATTTTCCTAAATTCTGGTGATAGAGTCAAGGGTTAAGGACATTGCCAAGAATTAATGCTGAAATTTAACTACTGTTCCACCAGGTTAGTGATTATATTCCCAATTACTTTGCTGTACTTAAGAGGTTCCTTTGCACTTTTTCAGGAGAACAAGCAGTTAGATTAAAATTATATATTACATACACAATTTTAAATGATACATAAATTTTACACCTCAAAATTAATTATTGCTTAAGTACTTTGCCAAACAATGATGGATTTATGAGTATATGAACATTCCTGGAAGAATAAAAAGTCAAGACCAACGTCTGTAGGACCACAGAGACTCACTGTGCTTCAGCTGTAGTTTTCCCACAGACACAGCAAGATGATTAAGGCCCTTTCCCACACTTCTGACTTAAAAACCTTTGTAATTTGTGCTCTTCTAACTCAAAAGCACATTAAAAAAAGATGAAAAACAACAACAGAAAACTAAAAATCTACCAAATCTACCCTTTGAAACTGATGTAAGAGAAAAAAAGAGTCAAGGAAAATTAATTTTCAGGATTTATAGAATATATAAGCATTAGTGTTAAATACAGTTAAAAACTGCAATAATTAAAATGTTACCTATCATCAAGAATATACTTTATCTGAATAAATACAGTATGGTTTATAAATTAGCCATTAAAACCAAAACTAATGTAGAATTAAATTATTCTACTAGATACAAACAATATCTAAACTAGTATTTATTTCCAGGGAAGAATTCTGCAGCACATCTCAGGACCTAAGTATATAAGTATATAAAGATCAAGAATATACTCACTCGAAAAGTAACAAATCTTGCCACATAATGAATTCACATAAAAACAGTTGGCAACAGTTGTATTTGCATTGTGCTATTTCCACAGAAGCTTTTGATTTATGAAGAAAATAACACAGGAAACTTCATCACTGTCACACATGCCAATAGTAAAAAATGTCCCAGAGACTTTTTTCCACATAATTTCTCATTTATCTTTAGAAATCAGCACGTTCTAACCACCTGAAGCTCCAGCTCCCTAAGGGTTTTGCATTTCTGTGCACGGATCCTTTCCCAGGACAGAAGCTTTTGCTGGTTTTCCTCAGCTGCTTTCAGCAAGTCATAAACATGTTCTAACTCCTTTAACTCAGCCTCTGTTTTGTCCCTCACCTGCATAGTAGCATCACAGGAGAAAAATGTAAGTGTAAAACCATAAATTAATTGTTGTAATACTTAATGGATTTTCATGTAGGTAATAAAGCTAAAATTCTACACAAGTTGCATATCCCCTATTTGATAAAATATTGACAAAGATACAAGTTCTTTTCTGATGCTTAAGGATGTGCTGCTTCCAGTGTTCAGCTCCATCTGCTGAAAAATTTTTAACACATATTTGTATGGAGTCTCCATTTTAACTGTTAGTTAAAAAAAAGCACCTCCAGTAGGTTTGCTTCCATATACAACTTTCACAGCTGTTCTGTCAAAAACATAGTTGCAAAATCATCAACAATAAAATCACATTTTTGAAAGTGATAAAAGAATTCTGGAATTCTAAAACAGTAGCCAAACTGCTTAATCATCGCACTAGGAATCACTGCTCACTTGTTTGCAATTGTGTAGTATCCATAAACACCCATTTTAGATAGCAGTTAGTAAAACTCTCAGAAATTTAAAACCAAGAGACAGTACCTTGTGACTTCTAATAAGACCACGAAAATGTAGAAAAGATCTGTATCCTTCAGAATTGTTTGCAAACATTCTTCATTACTGCAAAACTTACCTTATCTAATTCTAAGCATTTGTTTTCTGTTATTTTTTTGTTTTCATTTAAGACTGCTTCATATCTGGATTTCAATTCTTCTACTGCAATTTGTCTTTTTTGTACCTAGGACAACATATATTTTTCACATATATTTGCAAGGTCCTTCATTTAAATATAGAAAAGATAGAATCATTAGTATGAAACATAAAGGAAAACCTTTGACTTCTAAATGGTATCTTAAAGTTTGTCATTATTTGAAGTTATTTATTTTAATTATCCTACGTTTCACCACAAGTATAATAGGGTTACCAGGTAAAGAGCACTGTCATATCAGCAGTATGTTATCAAAAATGGAGAATGAGCTACAGCTGTGCTGTAGAAGCAGCCAGCATCACTCACGTCTCTCTCCCCACATAACAGCTATCACTGACACTTCCCATCTGGAGTCACTACAGCCCTGAGCTAGGGAATTTCACTCCACTCACTGCTTAAGGCTGGATGTTACCTGGAACTGCATCTGCCATCTTAAAGCTGGCAGTAACTTTAGTTGTGATGATGCATTCCAAAGACAAGGCTCTGGCTCTACACTAGATTTTGTATCATGTCTTTCTTTTCTCTTGTCAACGATTTAAAAAAGAAATAAGTGAAGAAATTGTGTCTATACTGTAGCAGATATAGATACATATTTGAATCAATGTTCTAAAATTTCTGTGTGAATAAAGCCAAATACAAAAAACAAATTGATAAAAAACCCATTTTAAGTTTGGTTTATTTGTTTCACTGGTATTTCTACATGGATTTACCTACTGAAATATAAGAACTCATATAACCCTACAGTCATAACCCTAACCCTAATACATATTTCTTGAATGAACTTGAATTTCTTGTACTTACTTGAATACTGATATGCTCTTATGAATATGAAGATAAAATATGGCCAAGTAGAGGTAAAATATCATTGGTATATCCACTGAAGACATAAGACTCCAATTTTTAAAATATCTAGTTTATTGGGGTCACTAATCTGCTTTTTAGGAAGCAAATCTTGTCAAAGCAAGTTTGCAATTGTTGGCTTCAATGAGCTTCTAGCGGGCTCCACACAATTCAGTATAGACAACATTTACTTGTAACAGTGTGGAGACTATTCTTTGATATGGTCTCTAATAGCACTTCCTTCTTTCATACTCAATATTACAAAAATATTACAATCCCCATGCCAACAAAATGGGTTATTACAAACAAAACCTTTATCATTTCCTCAAAATGGCTTAGAAATTAAAAAAACATACTTGATTTGAAACATGTTAAGTCACCTCATTTTTGCGCTGTTCTACAAGGTTTTCCTGCAGCTTTGCTTTTTCTTGCAGATGTAGCAACTCGTATTCAACAGACACTGTGCTTTTCTCCAACATAGCAAGGGAAGCCTGGACCAAAAATAGAAAATATAAAAATTTTAAGAGTGTTACTAAAATAACACATTCTACAGTATGATATTACCAGGAAGTGACTTACTGGCACTAGGAAGACAGACATATTTTTCCTGTCAAACAAAACAGTCTATAATTCATTTGTCAGCTCATTGGAACACTTATATCGGATAATACATACAATACAAAACCTGTAAACTCTTTCAAAATTGAAATTAATAACTGAGGTAAACTCAGTTCTTTAATTTGAAAGAACAGTTTCTGCTTAAGCAATTGTACATCTATTAACAGTAAAATAAACAGTATCCTGATTAAGCAAATATATCACAAGATAACCCTGTTCCTAGCTTTGCCATAAATTTCTACTGGAAAATTTTCAGTATCTCATTTGTTCTTACTATTATAAATGGATGGCAAACTTTATTCTGCAGGTCTGGATTCTCTAGACAGAAGGTCCGAAGAGAATTAACGTGGTTACTTCATTAATGTATGAGAAATGTAGAGCCATTCAACAATGATTTCTCATCTCACCTTTAATTTTCTGTTTTCAAGGTAAATCTTTTCATTTTCAGAGGTAACAGAAATTAGCTTTCCAAGAATTTCCTCTTCTGAGTTTCTTCTCCATTCCTCCCTTTTTTCCATGTCTTCCATCAGGCCTCTGATCTGACTTGTTAGACAGGTAAGAAGCTCTCTATAATACATAATGCTTCCAAAACTCTCACTATGAAAACGAAATCGAACCATAACATGTTCTCCTTCATTGTATATATATATATATATATATATATAAGGGGGAATGCATATACATATCCAAAGAAAGGATTACCTACTTATATTCTGAAACAAACTCTTTGAAAGAGAAGAGCTTCTACTCCAAGGAAGGGGTCTTAGCTTAATTATAGAACACCAAATCATACTTCCAATAGAAATATGCATATGAACACTGTTCAAAATGTAATTGTATTGAATTTATAGGGTATATCACATAATGTCCTACTAAGAACATCCCTTAGCTACTTTAGTAATGTTATTTCCATTATTAAAAGCAGAAAATTATGCCTCATTTTTTGCTTTTTTTCTTGGTAAATACAGTTCACAAAATTAGTTTAGCTGTTTAGTCAACCACACGCTGCTTAGTAGAACAAATCTTGTTAGAATGGCACATTTCAAGCAAAGAGTTGTATTTTCAGCTGAAATGAAAACAGCAAAAACCAGCTTGAAGCAGAATGAGTATTTATTCTTTCTTAGATGCCTTCTTATATACACTGGACTGACAGTGGGCTAGACAAATTTCTGGACTGATGTCATCTACCTGCACTCTGGTTAAACATTAAAATCTACTGCAAGTATTTTCAGAAATGCCAGATTTTCTGGGACAAAACCAAAATATTCAAGACAGTTTAATGTGAACTGTTAAATACTTCAGCATGAATCAAGTTCTTTGTGAAACAAACATTTTCTCAGACCTAGAATCTACCAGTTTCTTTTGCTGGTTTAAACTATAGTCCATATTTCTACCAACAGAAATTGTAAAAGGATATTTTTCATTGTCCGCCCAAAAAATAGCATATCCTTCATCTACATTTAGATTTGACTGTGTAGTTTGAATAAGGTTGGGTAATTTTGTGCTGCTTTTCCTTACATGAGTGAGCTGTTTGGCATCTGGGAGGAACCATTCTCTATCCTCTACTGTGGTTAGACATTAGTGGAACTGAAATAATTTGGCCATCACTAGTCTGAAGTAGGACCTAGAAGACAAAGAACCTTTTTCTATTCTCTAAACACAAGGGTTAATACTTGAACTCTTGAATCACTTATTAAATAAGTGGTTATGTGGAGCTGCATAGGAGCTGCCAGCAAGTTCAGGCTGATCAGAAGTATGCAGGAAAAAATAATATGTTATTTTTGGTAAAGGGGAATAAAGCTTTAAAAGAAGTGAAATGCAACAGAGAGGAGGCTAAAAATCTTAAATTTGTTCTTATTTCCAACTTCCAAATTCTGCTCAGAATTTTAAAATATTAATAAACTCATTTACTTTGTCAACACTGAGTATTGCATTACTAAATATCAACACTGTGACTACAGAAATAAATAAACAAAAAATACCAACAGCCCAACTTACTTCTCAAGATCTTCTATTTGAACTTTTAGCATTGTCTTTCCTTCAACTATTCTATCATACTGGTTTTTCCAGACATCAGAGGCTGACAGTATCTCACACAGTTTAACTTCCTAGGGAATGCAGAAATTATTAATTATGTAACAAAAGAATGCCACTGAATAATGCCATTTAATTCTACAGTTTTTTATAAACACAAAAGCTCTTTAATATAAGATGGTTTTATTGTATCTCACTTGTAAAAATCAATATAAATGTTCTCTCATACCAAAATAAAATCAACAAAATTACCCACATTTTAAAAAAATCCAAGTACAGACTTTCAAGAAAGAAATACTGATACTGTATATCAACTGTAGAATTCAAAATTTAAGATGACAATCTTTTCTAACCAAGAAAATTGTCTTCAATACATCTGAACTACATATAAATTACATTGATTAATAACCAAACAGAACTGTGTCAAAATATTTTAAGAATTTTTAAGAATTTCTAGGTAAGAAATTAAACATTAGGTAAAATTCTTTAAATGAATATGGATAACTAACCAACACATGCTATATTGAAAGTACACCAGGTTTTCAATAAGGAGGAAAACAAGTGTGATTACAAAACATCAGAAGTTGAGGAGGTGGTTGCTGTCCCTCTGTACTGCTACTTTTAGTTAAAGATCCACTACTGTCTTCTCACAAAGATCCAAGAATACGAAAACCATTATTAATCATCTCCTGGTACACTAAGTAGAAAAATATATCTTTAATACTTACATATCCAAAACTATTAAACACATCTAAGAGTATGTAAAATAATTCTTAATAGGAAATCCAAATAGGGCAATAAGCACAGTTCTGATGTAACTGGCCTTTTTGAACAATTACAAACCATTGACAGGCAAAGCAAGATTCCAAGGAACAATTTGGATTAAGGAAGAAGTTTTATGCTTGGATTTTGGAAAGGCTCAGAGCAAGCAGCTTAGAAACAGAAAGCTAAATAACCACATGAGACATCACATATTAATAAATAAAGAAAACTAACACTTCAAATCTTAGTCATGGATTCTCAGTTAGTACACTGTATTTCTGAGTTAGTCAGTGCCTATCCGTAGAGACTAACAGGATGGAAGACCAGGAGAGGTTTAACCAAAAGCTGATGACACTCCTCTTACTTCCTACAGCTTAAAATGTACAACCTCATGACTTAAGACAATTACTAAATTTTAACAAAACAAAGGCAGTTAATTGTAACAGCTTTCATGACCTCTATAGCAACATTTTCTTTAACAAACCAGCAACAAAATAAAAGGCAAACACAGCATACATTTTTCTATTTTCCACAAGTGAAAGACTTTCAGTTGTTCGGTTTCAAACAATACAATACAACATTGCTCACAGCATAGTCACTCACATGGTCTCTTATTTTAGCAGTTACATCTTTCACGGATTCTTCTAAGTGTTGAGCTCTTTGTTTCTGGGACCTTATTGCTTTTTTCAGAGCAATCTTCCTTTGCTCAGTTGTTTCCTTTAAGGCTAACTTCTGGTACTTGTATTCACCGATTTGATGTTCCCACTCTGCTATTTTATTTTCTAGAGTCTGCAGCATAATTAAAATCAACTCTTCAAATTCTAAACCTTACAGATAATTTTGCGCTAAGAAAATAATTAGGAAGACTACATTTATATTCTGTTACATTTATAATCTGTTTCCATATAATCTTGGTATCTCAAATCTTGTGGTTGATACAAGGAGCTAGCTAAGTACAACAGTAGACAAAAAAAATACAGAGAGAAAGTCATTAAAAAGATGAAAAGAAGAGGCTTAGTAGGTGCAGGAGCAGGCAGCAGTTGGGGGAAAGACAGTAATCTAACCATGTCTGTGTGCTCTTTGAAATGGACGCAGAATTTCCATGTAGAAGGCATAGTATGGATGTTAAACCCATTTATGAGGAGGATAATAAAATGGTTTCATCAGACTATTTCTGTAAAGAATATCACCTTAGTGATGCTACCAGTGATATGCACTGATGTATTAGAGTACGTGCTCTGAATCTAGACACACACCTACTAGGTCTCGAGATAGGCTGTATGACTACATATGAAATTTTATTATGAAAGCTAGTATCTTAGATTTGGGTTTTTTTAAAGTCAGGAAGCTAGGAAAGGCTGGCCTTTTTAGTTTATGTATTATGACGATACACTATTTTCTTGCAAGATCTCTGAATTTTTTCTATACGGAAAATGCACACTTTATTAATGACACAGTTTTATTTAGTGAAGAAAGTATTTTTTATAAACAAAGAAGTAGAAATGCATGTTAATTCATTTCATAATACTATGAAACGTACAAAGCAGCCAAGATGGGAACTGGGCTCTACAACTGCCATTATATTATCTTTTCAATTGCTGTTATTATTTCTGACTAACTACATGATTACATCACTCTGATGGAGACTGATCCCATTCCACACAGGAAGTTGATCTCTCTAACTTCATGAGTCATATTTTTCATCTATATACCACATAAATATGGATGGAAAACAACAACAGATGTTAAAACACTACATGATGATATTCATTAACAGCAGTACCAGAATCTGATTCAAGGAGAATCTCAGATCCACTTAGTCACCAAAAATGACCAAGCTACCAATAGATAATTATTTTCATAAAGACAAGTGTAAATGCTGTTCATATCTCTCACTATTCTTCCACCGAACTCCAGCAATGCAGGTAAGCCAGCAGTGTCAACTTTCTCAGTTCAGTGACAAATATCCTAATTGTAGGAATGATTCATGCATTTGTTCCCTTCCTTTTAGCCTAGGGCTGACACTACATTATGTCCTACTAGTTAGCTACTGACTATGTGAATGTGCCAGCTTAATTCAAGATACTTATTGCCAGTTGTTATAAAATATGCATATGATGCATGAGGGGATATCTCTCAGTACAGCTCCTGCTAATGGCCCCAAAAATTTTACACAATCAAAGCCAAATGCATGTGGTTTTCCAAGTGAAAGATGATCTCATGTACTGGGATTCACCAAAAAGCAAAAGTACTACTTTAAAAAAAAGGAAATTACAAAAAACCACCTAAATATGTAAGAAGTCGTTTTCCTATATAAATGCTTTCAGGGCACCTAATAACCAAAAATGTGAGTTGAGGTGGTGGAAAAACACCTTCAATAAACACAGCAAACAGTCTATGTACGGATTTCTTTATCTGTCGGTATAAGTAAACAGCTGCTATCCCCTATTATAACCACAGGAGGTCAGAATCACACTAAGAATAAGTGCTTTGGGCATTAGTGGCTGAGGTAAATTCCAATTGAGAACTAATTTCGTAGGGATAATGCTAAGGTTTTGCAAGCTTTTATCTAGTTATGAGCAAAATCATCTCCAGGATTTAAGCTAGAAAAATGCTTAGGCAATTTTTGAAAGTGAATAAAACTTTTAAATAGAGATTGAATGACAATACAGTTGTATATCAAGTTATTTTATCTAATGAAAATGCTGGAATTCTATAATTGTAGTAGGTAGAACAAGAAAGTACTTTTTATTTAGAAGAAAACATGAAGCATTTATGCAGACACAGACATGTGATTTGAAATAGCCTTGATATAGGTTAGGTAACAATCTCAAATTATTCAATTAGCAGGGGATATATGCTAGCAAAAAAGTTTGGAAATTAGAAATACATTGGTTTTAGCCAATGTTTTCTCATTCATGCTTATGTTCTTGACAAGTTTCATATATTCATATTCTGAGGCCACATACAGCTCCAGCCTTTCACACATGACCGCCTCCTTGTCTTTTTCTACAGCCAGTAACTGATACAAATGCCCAAATTTAACTTGTGGTTTTTAGAACAGAAAATAGAAATAATTTAACCTACCTTAAACAAAGTGAGACTAGGCATTAGTCTTAAGTGTTTCATTTTCAGTCAGTATTAAGAGACTTATCGATTCCTCACAGACAATAAGAGGGAAGAGGGTGTGGCTGTCACTGCTCTCTTAGAACAGAAAGTCACCATACGGACTTGCTTATCTCTCGACCACATGGAGACTGTCCTCTAGACAGTGCGGTTAAGTGGGTGAGCAAACACTTCTATGCATGTTTCACTTTGCTTCACCAGAACTGTACAAGTGTGCATAAGTGGAGAAAAGAAGAAAAGAAAAAAACAAACAACCTTGCAAATAAAAGTGTGGTCAGGCAGATCTTGCAAAACATAAAAACTTATGATTTTAACTGTTTCGGATTTTTCTTTTACCAATAATTTGATTTTCAAAACAGGCCACAGCAATGTTTTCCTTTTTTTTTTTTTTTTTTTTTTTTTTTAATAAACTGAAACACAAGTAAAATTATTTTGACCTGTATTTTCAATTTTAATTCATCATTTTCTGCTTCTTTTCTTTCAATCTGACACTGCAGGTAAGCTTGTACTTCCTTTACTGATCTTGACAGGTGATCTACTTTCTGTGTATTGATCTAAGAAAGATAAACAAACACAAATTTATTGGACTATTCTGTATGATGCTCTCTGTATTTTTTCTACTATGCTGTAGTTTCTAACTGAATGTCCTCAAAACCTGGAGAAGATAAAACATGCTCTACAAGTATATTCACAAGCAGTAACTGTATTAACAGAATTGTTAATTTATTAATTAACTGTATTTTAACAGAAATCACCAACTTGAAACAATTTACATATAATTATTGCATCATATTTAATCTGAGTTTAAGTAGCAGGAATAAGGCCTGGAAGCATGAGCTCAGAAATCAAGGCTAAGCAAAGGCATCCAGCTGGCAGGATGACTAACATTCAGCCACACTCATCAGCTGTGCTCTGACTAGTTAAACCTGAACTGACCTTCATTAAATTCCAAAGACCACCATCTCCTACTAGAACTATTGATACATTTAATTCAAACTCTGATTTTGGGGGATACCTAAATCATAAGGGAAAAGGAAATTTATGTCACCAGAACTCAGATGATTCTATGAAATTTCTTTCAACTTGATTCCTTTGGCTCATTCTAAGTAAGAAGTAATAATGTAGAAAATATCGTATTATCAGTATAGACTGAAAGAGACTAAAAGGACATACCAATGGAAGTGTTCATTATTGATACCAGTAAGAAAGGAAGATTCAGTCAAGTATTGATGAAAATGCCATTTATTGAAATTAATCTAAGAAGGAGCAAGGGGATAGCATAGAAAATTATTTATCCTTTCAGATGCTAGGCATCCTAAATTGTTCAACATTAGGTAGTCTCTAGCTGGGGCATGGTATGCCACATAGATCCCATCAACATTGAGGTCTGCTGGCATTGGGGTCTTCAGAATTTTTGTAGGCTTTTCTGTTCAGCGTTTCTATTCTCCAGCAAAAAAGATTTTTCCATGAAAATGTGCTCCTTCGCTTCAAGATAAAGACATGACAAGAGCCCCCATAGGCAATTATGACCAGCTGGTTAAGTTTATCCCAGCAGCCAAATGATATGTTCACTTGGTTAAGCAAAAATAAAAAAACTCCTAAGGAAGAACCATGTCTCTTAAAAACCCGCAAGGAGTTAAAAATACCAAAGTACACTGCTGTCCCCTTAAAGGTGTAACTGAGCCCACGCTGTCCCTCACTAATGCTGAACCACACACACAAAGTGCACCAGAGGTGTTTAGCCTGTAACACAGATAGCCAGACTATCAGTAAAGTAACTTTCCAACTTTTACAGTACCCTCTTATACAGGACAATTCTTCCCTTCCTGTGTTGTTCTTGCACTGAGCCCCTTCTTTAGGTGCAAACAATGAATGAGCTCTTGCCAGACTTGCCAGCCTTTGATGAAATTAGCTCTGCTGACTGTACTACCTTTCCTAAAAGAGCCAAGGAAACCAACTGTGAACAGAACCTGCTTAGTTTACTCCATATTATTCTTTATAAGTACTTTTCCCCCAAAATATTGCAAATCAGTAATTGAGAAGTCAAAAGCCACCTTAGGATATTAGTGTTAAGATAACTGTATCCTTAGTTGGTTTGAATACCATTTTAATTGTTTTAAGATAATTCTGTAGGAAACACCTTTCAGGATTTTACTTTTTTCATAGGTCTTTTAAATAATTTTTTTACCCAAAATTTATATTTTTTAATTAGGAATCTAGAATGTTGGAAGAAAATATTCATTCTAATGGAACTGGTCACTCACTTTTTCACACTGAAGCATGGATGAAAGTTCTTTAATCTGTTTCTCCCTTTCAAGTATTTTTTTCCTGAGATTCTTCATGGAGAAAAAAATCAACAAAGAAATTATTTTAATGTCTGTACACAACAAAGCATCAGCAATGCACAGTGATGAGCATTTCAGATGTAAAACTAAGATTCCATATTGTGATGGTAAATCACAAATACTCCCACTTTTCCACTCTTACTGGAAATTGTATGACTCTATAAGTTAGCAAATTTCAGATACTTAGCACAGAACAAAGAGAATCAAATTTTAATTTACTTACAGTATTCTGGATTTCTCTTTCACTTAGCTCCTGCATCCAAATGTCAATGTTTTTACTGTTTAACTGCAACACAGGAAACATTGAAAATTTCTGATTATAACTGATTTTGTATTTTTCAATGGTTTTCAATCAGTTACATATAGTTTGCTACATTTTCAATCCTGGTACATATGACTAGAAAAGTTCACCTTCTCAAAATCTACTTATTTGGTGGTTAAAACCCTAAAGATTCAATTTATTTTGTGCATGGACTTTGTAGCTGAAGAAAAAAACAGTGTTATTCCATATACCTATTTATTTCTTCATTTTATCTAGAATGGCTCTACATGCCATAGATAAGTGTTATTTAAGCATGTAATTAAAGGGTAAAAGCATCTGTAGAATTCACAATATTTCAAAGACTCTTATTAAGTGCTAAAGCCTTTCAGGAGCCTCAACTAGTTAGGAGAATTTGAAGACTGAACCAGAAAGCATTAAGCTGGAAGATCACAAAAATCAATTTGAATTAACTCTGTAGAATTTATGTGCCCGTGATATTGTCAACTAAACTTTTTATTTTAAAGTGTACAATTGCGTGTGTGTGTGTTCATAACTTTCTATTTTAAAAAGAGAGATTTGTGTGGCTTTCAGACTGTAAATCCAAAATATTTTAATTTCACTAATGAGAAGATAAACCCACAAACTCAAGCTGGAAACTTTGGTATCAAAATTTGACTACAACTCCTTCATCTTATTCTGGCCTGCATGTAATTCCTCATAATGTTCTGTAATCTCGATTCCGTGCCTATCTGTAAAGTCAGTTCATGGACCTCAATTCTGCATCCAGGTTTCCACCTTTGCATGCACAGCAAACGTATAAAATTGTATTCAGTAGAAGTCCTAACCTTTCCTGACTACACTAAGTCAGATTTGCTGTCAGCAAAAAATAATATATAAACAGGAATGGTGTTTTGTGACCTGACACTGATTTATCAGCAAAAATACTTAGAAGGCATCCCAGAATTGAGAAGTGACTGGAAACCTAAATTACTCATACTATCTTTCCATTCTCAGGAAATAGTCTTCCCTGCAGTTTGTTCATTATGAACTTTTTTTTTGTTGAATGATCAACAGAATGACTCATGCTTGTAATACAACTAGCAATGTCTATGAAAACCTGAAAATGAAGATTAAATGCAAAATTAAAAAATAAACTTCAAAATAAACACACATTTTGTTAGCTTCTGAAAGAGAGTTTAAAAAGTCAGTAATGACAAATCACATTTAATTTTAAGAGAAATCTACATGCTTCACTCCATCAGGTTTCTGTGTGAGTTCCACATGTCCATTCTTATACAGGAATTCACTCAGGTCCACCTCCTGTTTTAACCAACATTGTTTAACAAACTCCTTCCAAATTTTTGGGAACTTTCCTAGTGCACTGGACATAACAGAAACATCTTCCCACAATATGTCTAATAAAGAAGATGATATGACTAAACATTTCTTTCAGACTAGTGTAAGAAACGTACATTTCCATTGATTCTATGTTCATGCCTTACATATTTTTTTTTATTATATATATATATTTTATTAATTATATATATATTTTATATATGTCTGTGTCTTGTTTTATTACAGGATTAGATTTCCTGGCAAACCTCAACTTGTGTAATACAGTGCAACTCTGTATCTTTTTCCTGGACATACAACTAAAACCAAGTTCGTGAACTTAATTACCTCCAGTGAAAACAACACCTTGGAAGATTAAATATCATGCTTCATTTATCATAGTTCATCAATGTGAGCAGAAAAGAACAAATAATAATTCCATCATAGTTTCAGTATACTGTTGCTATGTCCAGCAGCGTCACTTAACCATTTTTTGAAATACCACCTACTTCATATCTGTAACTAGGAAGTATATTTTTAACCTTGTTAACAAAACAAATACAATTTAAAAAATCAAGCCTAACAGGAACAGAATGAACTTGCCTCAACAGTGTGAAGAAGAATAAACTTTTCCTGAAGATCAAAGTTCAATGAAGGAGCAGTACAGTCATGTACAGGTAGAGACAAGGATGATTGTGATGATGATGACATTTTGATTTAATGCTGTATAACAAGGCAGTATATGTTAATATATATTGATGTTCTGTGAATCAGTAACTGGAACATAACTGGCATGCCAAGTTGTTCCCACTACAGTGGGACTACAAACCCCAGTCACAGAGATGTAACACAGCTAATGTGCCTGAAATCTTCCACAAGAATTCACAACTTGCAATTGCTTAGCACTGAATTCACAAATACAGTGCGCAGAAAGCAAATCCTTCCACAGCAGAAAACTGAATACACTCAAAGGACAAAGTAAAGCTCGCAATTGCTATTTCCCACTTCCACACTCCCCAGCACAGAGCGGGAGGCCCAGGGGCACAGGTCACTCAACGCCAGCCCTCGCCCCGGGCCCACACTCGGGCTCTCACCTCACCAAAGGCCTCTGCGCCCGCTGCCGGCAGCTCCCGCCCCTGGGGTGTCCCGCGAGTCACCCCCCAGCACCTTTCCTGTGGGGCAGTGTCCCCCCAGCGCCGCTCCTGTGGGGCAGTGTCCCCCCAGCGCCGCTCCTGTGGGGCAGTGTCCCCCCAGCGCCGCTCCTGTGGGGCAGTGTCCCCCCAGCGCCGCTCCTGTGGGGCAGTGTCCCCCCAGCGCCGCTCCTGTGGGGCAGTGTCCCCCCAGCGCCGCTCCTGTGGGGCAGTGTCCCCCCAGCGCCGCTCCTGTGGGGCAGTGTCCCCCCAGCACTTCTCCCGCGGTTCCCACCTGCGCCCGCCGCTTTTCTCCGCCGGGAGCCGTTGCCGGAGCAACGCGCCGTTGCCGCTGCCTCTGCCGCTGCCATTGTCGGTGCCACTGCCGGTGCCATTGCCGGTGCCGCTGCCATTGCCGGTGCCATTGCCGGTGCCACTGCCATTGCCGGTGCCCCTGCCTTTGCCGGTACCGCTGCCATTGCCGGGTGCTGCCCTCCCCGGGCCGGCCTTGCCCGACGCTCCCCGCGAGCACCCACTGCCCCCGCCTGAGGCCGGTGCGGGCCGGAAACCCTCGCGGGCCCGGCGAGGCGGCATCGGCCCTTCCCCGAGAGAACGAGGAGCGTGCGGTTGGGATGCAAAGATGCCTCAAGACGCGGCTGTGCTCCTTACTCGCCCGTGACGTGCCCAGGAGGTCACTGTCAGACCCAGATGGACAAGAAACTCGGAAACTTCTGGGGAGCTTTAGGTCCTTCAGATGATTTCTTTCTGGGTGTTTCCATTAATTTTTAACTTTTTTTTTTTTTCCCCTGAGGTTAAACGCTAAGTATTCATGTAACCTGACCGTATGTGAAGATGTTTTGGCAATACGTTCCCAAACACTGTAGAAAAGACAGATATTTTTAAACAACCACGTTTAGATGAGGCAGCAATTCACAGAATATCTGAGACACTGCAACAGACATACAGAAAGATCACTTTCAGATAATAAATTGTGGAAAACTGAGGGATCATGTGATACAAACATGATCATTTGTACAGATGCATATGAAGATATGTGCATAGACACATATACATAATTATAATTTGCACATTTTGTTTAAAAAATAATACTGATAGAAATGTTACTTTTTAATATTCTAAGTAATAGCAGTGTCAGCAACTTACATTAAAAAAAAAAAAGCTTGACATAAATAATAATCAAAATAAAAATCAAACATATCCTTTGGCATCCTTTGTAAACATGCCAATGTGTATTTTCTTCTATTGCTGGCAATGGAATTTCAGAGAGCAGCTACTCACTTTATATTCCCTCTGGAGAATATTGCCTAGCTATATGTGCCTGGTAATGAAAATGAATGCTAAATGTCAACCTTTTAAGTTCAAGTAGATGTGAAATCACTTCATTATCCATTGTGGAGTGAGCACCCGATTGCACCTGAATTCCAAAGGAGATTTTGTCTTTGCATGTGCAAAAGGCCTAAGGCTTTGTTCTGTATAGGACCCACAGCCTAGAACCGAGAATTCACCATCTCTGGCAGACCTTTGCTTCAGCACGACAATTATGAGCTGTTGCTTTGGTACCCTTTAGTCACCTCAGACAAAATTCTTAATTTTAGCTGTCCAGAACTTGCTATAAGATTGGTTTATTAAAAAAAAAAAAAAAAAAAAAAGCAGTAACTTTTTGCAATTTTCTAAAAATCTGGTCATAGTTTATAAAATAATGCAGGCACTATCCAGCAGTGAGGGCTAATTAGCATGATAATTAGCATTGCACTCTGTACCTCCTAAACAAAGAATGAATTACAAGTTTCAGTCCTCAAAACCACATTTTAATGACAGTGGCACAATCCAGAGAGTAGAAAATAATTAAAGGAAATAGGACATGCAGTTCCACAATGACATAATTACAGGCCTTATTAAAAGAGATATGCTTGAGAGAAGCTTCTTTAGATACCACAGGAACACTGCTGAGTGTTTGTCACAGTTCATGACTTCATCTACTCTAAAGGTATAATTGAACCTTTCATTTCCATGTCAGAAATTCACAACTCCAGTGTGTTTCTTTGTTCATTGGTTAATTTTGGCAATACTCTGCTATGGCAAAAGCTGCAGATTTGCTGTGACCCTGTTAATACACCGTTCCTTCCCTATCCTTGTACACACTGCTTGGTGCAGTACTGACCAGATTTAATTTCTCCTGAAACCCTTAGACACTCGCTGCCTTACACAGAAGTGGACATCCAGCAGAGACAGAGTACTGTGTTTTCAGATCTAAAATTTCATTTTCCCAAGCAATAATCAGTGTTGTAATTTCAGTTCATATGGAAGCTAAAATAGGTGTCACATTTTAGAGGAGAAAGACTCCTTTGTAGAAAAGAGTCAGAGATGAAGCATTATTTGCTAGTACCAGTTGCCTCTAATTGCTTTTAGGTCAGTGAATGCCGTTTCAGTCAGAAATATCTCCTTTTGTTTGCTTCTGATAAGTCTTCTTATTCCATAAAGGAGTTCTCCTGCATACAATTTCTTTGATAGAACTACATCACACAATTGGAACAAATGTGTTGCAGCATTGTTCCTGTAACTATTTCCCAGAGTTATGTAAAAATATGATATTATATAGACAATCCCTGTGATCCAGGACAACTCACTCACAACTCTGGGACACCCAGTCCTACCTGCCTAGCAAGCAGAGCTGCAGTAGTCTGTTGTGTGGAGGCACTGACATCTAGTGGGCCCCAATTACATTTCCAGTTCTTCCAAATGTTCCAAAAATCTGTCACAGCATCTCTTTTTGAGCTGCTATGACCTTGATATAAATGCATATTTAAAAGTACAATCAAATATGAATAGTTGGAAGTTGGATTTATTAATTAATGCTAACTCTTACTGTAGTAGCAAGAGGAAGATAAGATTTGTCTCAATTAAGAGCTCACGTTCACTGAGCTCTGTCCATCATAAAAGCTCTGAAGAAGTCAGTTCAAGTAAGGCAGTATTGAGAACTTCCCCAAACACCTCTGCAAAAGACAGACAAAATTTGCTGTCAAGCCTTCTGAAAAGCCAGTATAAAATGACAGGGCAAGACTTTTGATTTCCGTTATTATGTTTACATGTATACGTGTATACATATGTATGTTCAAAACCTACATGGGCTGCAGTCCCAGTTGCCAGCTCAAGCTGGCAAGAAAAGATGTGATAGTTGATGTCAAAACCATAAAAGTTGTGTTTGTCAATATGGTCTTCCCAATATTATTAAAATAATTTTAGCTTCCAGCTTCCTACGTAGACTTCATGATGTTCCATGAAAAAGGTAAATTTAATTATTCCTGTGCCACATGTGGAGAAACTGCAGCACCATGTGATGAAACTATTTTCTCACAGTCACTATTAAGGAAGTGACAAAGCTGCAAATATACCTCCAGTTATTAAACTATCATTGCACAGTAAGAGGGAGAAACCCAAAAAACTTATTTATCTTTCCACGGGGGCCAGTTCCTCCAAGTATAAGATAGCCAGCTTCTTCTAAGATAGACAGCTGGGGTGTGGGACTAAATTAATCTCCTTCCTGCTCCAGGAAAGGACAAAGACCATGAAAACAACATATGATATACCTGGTCCAGTTCCCTGAAATTTCAGAACTTTTGCCTACTGAATGTTTTGCCAGTTGCTGCATGCAGTCCTATTACAACTCCAGTTCGAGTGTTTAGGGGAAGCACAGCAACAGCTGCCACAAGGAACACTGAAAGGGTGCACTAATGTGAAAAGGAACATTAATTCTCCCTCAGATCGCTGTAGTTTCTGAGCGGAAGTGTGCTGTTGAGAACAGCTGCTTTCTGCTTCTGTCAAAGCCAGTCACCACATTTTTCATGAAAGCCTGATTGTACACAGGCCAGGCAGCTGGCACTACTGATTTTATAATCTTTGCCTGGTTATTATCAAGCTAAGCTTACAGTTGTTAATGTTGGTGAAGAATCTATAGACTCACACACAAACAAATGCCCTTACCTATTTTAATAAAACAAGTTTTGGTTATTAAATAGACATTCTGCTCCTTTTATATGTCTTTTCAATACATCAATAGATGGTAAATCAAATTTACACACATTTATCTGGAAAATCTAGTTCCAGGGTTGCTACTATTCTTCAAAGTATTAGCTGGAGTTCTGCAGGGTTGTGACTGGTAATACATTGCCAGAACTCTTAATTTCCCATTGTTAAACTGCATAAAATGATTACATAAATATGTAAAATATTCATAAAATATATATTATGCAAAGATATGCTTCAGTTACATAATCATGAGTGGGAAGAGAAGTGGTGTATATACGCACAATGACACAAGATGTGACCCTCAGTGTATTACAGAATTAAATAGGCATGAATTCCAGAATGGGCACTACATTATTGGGATTAGATGTGCTACCAGTGTTTTTGTTTCATTTACAGTGTTATCACAGGATAAACTGAGTTTTGGAGGCATTTCTGGGATTTTGTTTTTCAAATCTTTGACTCCAAAGAATCCATATTTTGGATGGAAGAATCCATCTTTTGGATGGAAAAACCCATCTTTTGATGACTATGGTG